AAAGATAATGTAGGAAGAATTAAAACACTGAAAATTTCCTCAGTTTAGCTTACACTAGCCTCTTGATTTGAATTGCTATAGCATCTGGAATCTATAACATTCACCTAGACTTATTAACAGTAAAAGCTAAATGTTCATCAAGATTGTACTAGGTGCCTGGCTGTCTTCTGTTTTACAATTAGTATCATATTTAAATCTCATAGCAACTCTGTGAAGTATCTCCATTTTCTCCATTTTAATGACTAAGAAATTAAGGCAGAGAGAAGCAAATAATTTTCCCAAGGTTATGGGTAGAAGAATTAAAATTTGAAGCAGTCTGACTTCAGAGTCCATGCTTTTTTTTTGTTTTGTTTTGAAATAGGGTCTCACTATTAGTTCAAGTGATCCTCCTGCCTCAGCCTCCCTAGAGGTCAGACCTCAGGCATGCACCACCAAGCCCATCTCAAGAGTCCATGAAATTAATCACTATATGAAACTACATCCCTGTAAGGAAAACAATATATTATGTGCCAAGACAGATAAGAGTAAGGATAGATCTCAGCTTAAACTAAATTGGATAGTCTTACAGAGATAAAGTAGAAACCCCATGTGTATATATTGAAGATTTTCTAGGGGAAAAATAAATTATTTCTATACTATGTTAGATGTATTTTACTTATAGAAATAGCATAACATAATTTTAATTTCATACATCCATTATGTTATGGTCCAAGAAAAAACAGCTATTTTGGCACTGTGTTTGAATTTACTGATTTACTTGCTTAAAAATACTATATTTAAAAAATTTTCTCAGAAAACAATGAAGTTAAGGGGTGGGAATTTAGCTCACATGCATAAGTGCCTGCATGTGAATTCAAACCTCAATACTAAAAAAACCCAAAAAAACAATAAAGGGCCGAGGATTTAACTCAGTGGCATAAGGGCCTGCCTGGCAAGCCTGAGATTGTGAGTTTGACCCTGTACCAAAAAAACAAAAACAAAAACAAAAAAAGTTGGTAAATGTTTTAGTATTTTTATTTAAATGCTTTTTAAGTTCTGTAAGTTACCACGTGCTTAACTGCTAATTAAATGCACTATTTATAAATTCTGAATAAAGATTTTTCTAGACATTTGAACAAGTTCTGCTTGCCCAAGTTCTGTACATCCACGTTCTGTCAAATCTTACCATCTAAAAGAAAGCCTCACAGTATACAACTGTATTACAAGAGACTAATGTACTCTGATGGCAAGTGTAAAACAAATCATTCACAAATATGGCAATACATCTTTAATCTCAAAAGATGAGGCTATATCTTCAATTTCATAACCAATAGGTAAATATAAAAATGCTAATGCGTTAAGTGTTTTGGGATTTTGTTTCATTTTGGCTTGAGGACTGAACAAGGACCTTATGCATGGTGTGCAAGTATTCTACCTTTGAGCTGCACTCTAGACCTTTTGATATTTAAGACAGGATCTTGTTAAACTGCCAATCTGGATTTGTTCTTCAGATCTTTTTGCCTCAGCCTCTGAGCATCTGAAATTGCAGGCATATGCCCGCACACCAGCAAAGACTATGGCATTTTTTGTTTGTTTGTTTCTTCTGTTAGGTTTGGTTTTGTTGTTTTAGGCAATGAGCCACATTCCTTCCCCATTCCCATTTTTGGAAAACAGTCTAAAACAGTCTCCCTAAATCAGTGTTGGTAAACCCATGACAACTACGGCACACATCTGTTATCATTAAAAGCTCTAAAGGATTTCCCATCACTGCCCTAAATCATTAAATGAGCTTGCAACTCTCTGCCTTAGTCTCTTAGAGTGCTGGAATTGCAGGTATCAAGTGTTGTATTTTATATTAAACTTCTTTTCAAGGGCCCAAGAACTAGCATCCAACATTAACTGACTCATGCTGTTTAAGGAGCACCTACTATGTGCTCAGGACAGTGTTCATCCATAGAAGTCATATGTAATACCGATAGTGGCTATCTAGAACCATGATTGAACTCATGCCTTCTGGGAGTTCAGGTATTCAAAACTCCAATGCACAACACTCTGTATCCAAAAAAATATGTCACTAGAACTTCTATAATCTATGTTAACACAAAGAGACTCTAGCATATCCTGGGTTACAGTGACAAGTGTATTTGGTCCACTTTACACCATGAAAATCTGGCATTTCCATCAAAATGACACCTTTTTCTCAAAAATCGATTGTTTTAAGACCTAAAATTCTATTGCTTTTAGAAACCATGACTCCCCTGACAAATCTCCTGAAAATAAAAATAATGAAGAAATGTGGCACGATTTTATTGGTAAATTAATAGAGTACTTTACACAATTTACTAAGACTGTCAAAAGCTGTAAACTGAATCATGCTAAGTAAAATGCATCTAACTGCACATAAATACCACTTAAAACAATTATCAGGTAAACTACAGTAGTCCTGAAGGCAGTTTTGGCTTTAAAGTGACCAAAACGGATAAAAGAGCTCTCTACGAGTTTATAATAAATACACAATCCCTTTAGTCTTACAATAAGTATGTCCAATTCCACAATTTATCCTAAAATAACTCCATTCTCACTGTACATGACTCCCACCAATTTCTGTCCACTAGCTTTTCAATCACATACCTCAAACAAGCCATCTGAATTTCTTCAGCGCACTCTATCCCCTCTCCCTTTCAAAAAACATAGGAATTATAAAATATTAAGAGAATTAAACTAGGAAAGGTGAAAAAGTATAAACGTCTCTGCCTCCTAGGACTTCCCTTTATACCTAAGAATTTACCACGTACCTCAACCACCTACGTTTCATGTTCCTGGATAATGCCTCCACCTTACTAACAGTTCAAACTGTTCACTCTCTAACAAATGACGGAGTCTTTATGTGACCACCCCATCCCAGCTTCTCGTATTTAATCATTCAAGCCGTCCAGCTTTATCTTGTCCTATAAAATTACGCTGAAACTCACAAACCATTATTCAACGCCACCATATATTCTTGCGTCCTCCTTTTAACCAGCAAGTTCGAACCCACTGTAAAACCTTCCCTGGTAATTACCACCTCTTCCTTGCATTCTCAAATTCTCTTTCCTAAACGCCATCCCAGCCCGGAGTTACACACACCGCCTAGGCTAATTCCCGAAACCTCAAAGCCCCACCCCACCATCACGCCCTCCGCGGCGCCGGCCACCAACCCCAACACCCAGCCGCGTAGCCGGCACGCCCTCCCGACCCCTGTGGGGTTCTTCTCACCGCCCCGGTCAGACCCTGCCGACGCTTTAAAAATGCCAGGCTCCTCTACCACCACCCCAGCCCCGCCCCCAGCCCCTCACCGAGTAACAGCAGCTTCACTTCTTTGGCCGCTTTCTCCCCGTCCTCCCGCAAGTTGCGGTCGATCATCTTACTCCGCTCCACCGCCGCCTTGTCTTCGGCGCTCAGAGTGCAGCCCATGACGGCGGCGAGAGAGGGAACTGGGCCGGAGCTCACTCACACACCGCGGAAACTGCGGCTTCGCTGGCCTAGACAGCGTCTACTGCGGGGCGGCGGCCCTCTCCGTCAGCAGCCCCAGAGCCCGAGGAACCGGACATCCGGCGCTTACGACACTTCCGGCGACGCCTGGCGGCCGGTGCCGCGCGAACCTTTTTTGCTCTAGGAGACTAGTCTGGACCAAAAGCGGAAGTCGGCAGGAGGGGCGCTGGTCCTGCGGAACCGCGAGGTTCTCTCTGGCTCTTTGTGCACCAGCCAGTCTTAGTACCCTTTATCTTTTCGGCTACTTGATTTGGATAAATGTAAAAAAACTGGGGCCTCTAGTACACAGTATGCTCCTGAGGTCATACAGCGGGTTGTGGGATAGGACATCGGATTCCCAAATAAGAGCCCCCTGTTCCCAGGATAATTTCTACTAGGGCATTCTCTCTGGCTGGAAAACTTCTTGGGTCTCTGCTTGTGGAGATTCAGAGCACTTCCCCAATTACTTAAACTGTCTCACTGATCTATGGGATGAGAACAAACTGGCCAGGTTGGGCACTATCCACTTCTTACATCTGAGGTCTGTTAACACCGGTCATACCTAAGACTAGCTCTGTCCTCTGCCCCTCTGCCTTCTCTTCCTCTTAAGATATGGTTTGGTCTTTATATGCTACTACTTATGCGTTTCTGTGGACTTAAGATTTGCCCAGTGCCTTTGTTTGCAAAAGGCTGCTTTGAAATCACTAGTAGATCTCTTTAACCTGAAAGGTGTGTAGTTCATCCATAAAATGTTTATGATGCCCATCTCTGTAATATAAACCAAATTATCCTACATTAGGAATTTAGGACCTCAACAAGGTAAGTCAACTTAACACCCTACTCTCAAAAAATAAAACTACATCCTTTAAATCTCTTATGAAAATGTCCTATTGTGATAACCACACAAAAAGTTGTAATAAAAATTGCCTCTCACTCTAATCACCTAAAAATTAATGCCCATGAAAGGCCTATACTGGTATCATTAACTGATAATCCTAAACTACGGCAAAAGTGGCCCTAAATTACCTTTTCTGTCAAATAGCTCCACAGTTACTATACATTGTAGGGAGAAGGATGATTTTGCTTTCCCTAAAGCCTTTCCCTACAATGAAAAAATACTTTATTTCCCTAACAGAATCTAGACTCAGGATCTAAGGACCCAACAGAAAGATCTATATAGTGATGTTTTGAGACAAGATCTCGCTGTGTAATTCAGGCTAGCCTTGAACTTCCTTATGTAGCCCTGGCCAGCCTCAAACTCACAGTGATCCTCCTGCCTCAGCCTCCCAACTGCTGGGATTACAGGCATGTGCTACCATGCCCAGCTGATTTCATTGATTACAACCATTTAATTAGATATTAGAGCTACTTTAAGCACTTTCCACCATAACATCAATAAATGCCAATTCTTCAAAGTTTGAAAAGTCTCCCACTCATTTCCAAATGATTAACATAAAAGGAACTGCATTACCATTATCAGTACTTCTAGGGGGAAAAAGGGCAAGAGGAAAGGGAAGAAAAAAACCAGTATTTATTGAGTACCTATTTGCCAGGTATGGCTAGGTGCTTCCAACTCTCATTTCAATCCTCACAACAACCCTGTGAGGTAGGTAATAATGATCCCCATTTTTACAGATGAGGAAATAGGCTCAGAGAGTTAAGCAGCTTTCCCAATTTCACACAGTGAGTAGGCAGACCCAAGTTTTGACTACAATTTCACTCCACACATACATTTTTTTAAAACCATGCCTTCTAAAGGATGTTGTCTAGGGCACCTAAAAACAGAAAATCTATGGTTTTCATCAAGGCTGGAAAATCACTCCAGTACCAGCAGAATGTAGGAAAACGTATCTGACATGATTGTTTCCTCCACCTGTTGATTCTTCAGTATGTTAAGGAGGTTGGACTTTGCTCAGGTATGTTTTTCAGAGCTAAGGATTATGTACTGAACTTTATCAAGTTGGCCTGATTACTTGAAAATTCTGGAAAGTGCTCATAGCAAAAATTTTTGGGAAAATTCTCAGCATAAAAAAGATAAACTTTTATTTTCTTCATGATCCATTCTTACAGGGAAAAATAAATGTCAAATAAAACACCATATATGTCAAACTCTGTGGTAAATGCCAGTGAGATCACAGTGACAGGTAAGCTCAGCCTGAATTAGAGATATCCTTGCACTTAAAAAACTTTCTTCTTTGATGTATGTAAAGGAAGAGTTGAAAGACAATGTCAAACAACAAAAGCAAAATAAATTAACAAAATGGCTGCCAAGCAATGTTTGATGCCCTCCTTTTTTCTCCCTCCCACATACACACACCTTTCTATTTCCAATGGAGTTACACTGCCATCTGCTGGTAATCCCTTAGATCTAGAAGTGTTTGAAAGTTTCTCCCCTAATGAAATTCCTAGGTATGCATTTATGGTGAAAGGCAGTTTTTGTTTTGTTTTATTTGCAAAGGACACTCCTTGCTATATATACTTTCTTTCTAAGGGATGTCTTCACTATGATAGGCACTAAGCTAGAACAGTTTAGGGGTAGGAAGACAAAAACCTGGAAATGTTCCTAGTTCAAAAGGGAAAAGGCTGTTTGCCCAGTTTCATTTGATGTTTCACTTACAATCCTCATACTTGCCACAATCTTCAGGAAGCCTTTAATACTAAGATGAACTCTCAGAAACTAGAACGATGGATATATATTCTCCAATATGTTTCTTAAGTGCTTTATCAGGTCTAAATGCTCTATAAAAAAATACTAAGTATCTACCAAATTAGGCTATGGACTCCTTGAAGGCAGTAAATACACATCCTCCTTGTAGATGCCAGGGAATAGTGGATATTCAATTATTATGCACTGAATTGAATTGAATTGAATTGAAGGAGTCAATGTTGATATCAGTGTACCTTTATCATAAAAATTATTTATTGGCTGTTCAAAGGGGAAACTATCCCACTCCCACTGACACCATTTTCCCCCTTTGATGCTCAGCATATCAATAATTTGTTCAAATATAGGCCACACCACCCTCTAGCCTTGCCTTGGCTCTCTTTGGTCCTTTTGTGTTACTGAATTCAGTGAAGGGGGATGAGATGGACAGGTGGCCCCAGATGGGGGTGTTGTCCAGCTTGAATTTTTCCCTCTCCATTGAATATACCACTACCAGCCAGGCTTGCCTGTAATCCCAGCACTTGGAAGGCTGAGGCAGGAGGATCACCACAAGTTCAAGGCCAGCCTGAACTACATAACAAATTCAAGGCCAGCCTGAACTATATAGTGAGATCTGTCTTTAAAAAAAAAAAAGAACTACTACCAATACCAGTCAACATAGTTCCTATACTCTTAACCAATAAAAGGCTTCTGTGCTCTCTTTCCAACCCAGGGATACAGATAAGAGAGATTTAAGTCTTTGCCATTGAAGCTAATTTTGAGAGTGATGAATGGGAACAGGGAGGAATTTAATGGACCATGGATACCCAACCCTTCCCATGCCCAACCTTGGTCTTTTGTACCCGATTGTCCAGGGGGCTGGAGATGGGTCACTGCCATGAGGAGAGAGATCAGGGAGGCCAGTCCTAGAAAAAAAAGATTTTTAGGATTATTGATCAGGGTGATTTATGTGTTCTCTTTGTATCAAGCCACTGTACCAATTCAAATGCTAACCCTCACCCTCAGTTATCCAACCCCCAATTTTTCTAGTTATTCATTCTAAAAGACAGGGAGAAAGGGCCATCCTGTCTTCTCTCTGCTGAGATCAAGTTCCACACTTGATCTCCTATATGCAGAAACGAAATAGAACAGAAAACTTTTCCTGAAGATTGTGTGTGACAGAGAATTGCAGTCACCTTTCCTGTCTTCTATTACACGTACCCTAACTATTAGTTCCCCTTGATTCTGACCAAACCTAGGAAGAGTATACCCTGCTGGTCCTCTCCATTTAGGGAAATTTTCAGGTATAAAACTAGAAAAAGATCTGCTAACTCATAGGGAAACACCTGGCTGCAATTGCATTCTTTTTAAACCTAGTAAGGAAATCCGAAGACATAGGTCATTTTCTTGCCTTGCTTGGGTGCAATTATTGCCCTATAAAACAAAATGTCCTCAGTGGTCCCCAGAATAACTCCAAATCTGGCCTGCTGCCCTAATCCTGCAACTCCTGTCCTTGGGGTATTTCCCTGTATCCTGAGGCATAGAAATTTCACCAGCTGATAGCTTCACCTCACCTTTGTGACCTTTTCCTCTCGCCACCGTCTCATCATACCCAGGTTCCCTCCCCCAGTAATCAAAGGTCGGCCAAGTCTAAAGCTTTTGCCACATGTCCATCCTGTTGGCTCTGGTCCTGAACCAGGAAATGCTAAGCAAAAGCTGTGTGCGGAGACCCCAGACCCAGACCCAGACAGCTGGAAAAGTGGTCCCACAAAGCGCTCCTCGTGACCATGACTGGCCCTCAAACCCATCTCCCTTCAGGTGTCCAACAGCCCATCATGACTCCAGTCGGGGTGAGGGGCCAGGATGGAGGTAGCTGTCCGACATGATGATGTCACTGGTGAGTTGCTGCTCCAGGAACTCAGAGGTCTCCTCAGCTATCTGGCCTGGGATTCGAAAGTCAACAGCAGGTGGCTCCTGCTTAGGGCTGGGTGGAGGCCTGGAAACCCAGTTTTCGGTGGGACAGCCTGTCCCCTGAAGGAACTGCAGAAAGTTCTCCTCAATAGAGCCCTCCCTGCTAGGCAGCCTCAACTCCTCCTCTGGAGCAGGCTTGAAGAAGCAGACAAACTGCTTGCTGAGCTCCCCCCGGATCTGCCGGTTGAGACATCCATAGAAGAAAGGGTTGGAAGTGAAGCAAAAGTAGCCAATCCAAGTCACCACCCTCTCCACCTGCCCAGTTGAAATGGGCTGAGCACTCATTGCAACGTAGAGATGGAAAGAAAAGTAGGGCAACCAACAAAGCAGGAACTGTCCCCCCACAGCCAAGAGGACCACTGCCGCCTTCCCTCCCCCAAACGTCCGGTGTGGAGTGGTCTGCGGGGCCCCAGAACTGGTGACCATAGTGGATCGACTACTGAGAGACTCGGAGCGCTGCCGGGGTGTCTCCATCCATGTGGGCAGTGGCCCATGCTGCATGGCAGCAACACGAGCCACTCGGAACATGCTGCAGTAGACCACAAGGATGAGGAGCAAGGGCAACAAGAAGTACAGGATGGCAAAGACCACCACAAAAAGCTGGCAGTAGGCACTGTGGCTCCATTGGAGTGAACAGCCTGGGGGGACACTGGGAGCGCCTTCCTCCCAGGAGACTCTTCCCAACACTGGCACAGAAGCCATGGCCAGGGCCTTCACCCAAACACCCACCAGCACAGAGGCTACCAGCCCTAGCGTCATGCGCACCTCGTAGCGCATGGGGTGGACCACGTAATAGTAGCGCTCCACATTGATGGCTGACACAGAGAGGATGGCCAGGCTGACAAAGCACACACTCAGGAACAAGTAGAGGCGACAGGCCACCTCTCCAAAGAGGGTATGGTCAAAGAGGGCAGAACTGGAGAGCATGGCCAAAGGCATGAGCGTCAGGGCAGCCAGCAGGTCCACTAGGCAGAGGTGGAAGACAAAGACAAATTTTCGGAGGGCAGGCGTCTTGGCAATAACGGCCATCACAGCAGCATTGGCAGCCACAGCAGTTAAGTCCAGCAGGAGCATGAAGAAGAGGGCCACAGATTCTGAAGCTATGTCCCGCAGGCCCACCTCTGGGACCTCACTGGCAGTGGAGGGACCTGGAGTTTGAGGAACCCTCCCCAAAATGGAAGAGTTCCCTGCTGAGTGGGGGATGGGTGAGGACTCCATGGGGCCGAAAGAGGACACCCAGGGCACCTCCTGTCACAGGCCCATCCCCCATCCTAGTCCACAACCCTGGGATGGTGAGCCCAGGCCCAGGCTTCCCAATTTCGTGGGGAACTTCGGGAGTCTTTTGGACAGCCTCTTATCACCAGCCTTCAGGACTGGGGCTCCTCTATGGACAGAGCACCAGGCTAGGTGGCCATAGGCTCAGGAGCTCTTCCGCTCTTTCTGGCAGGAGGTGGCTCCAGGGTCGGCCTTGGTGCCTGGGAAGAAGCAGGAGAGTGAGAGAAATGGAGCCCTGGCTACTCAGCAGCACTCCACTTTGTGAGTAGCTTCTGGCTCGTTTTCCACTTTCTTTCCTCCGTTCTCCATATCTTTGTCCCTTCCAAAGGCCATTATTCAGGGATTATAAATCCTATGTCTCCCTTTCCCAGGGTCTTGCTGAGTTCTGGGACAGTGCCCCAGTTTTAAAGTTGCTTATGTGACTTTTCCAATTTCTGGTATTCTTTGGATGGGAAGTAGAAGGAACACAAATTTGGCTTCTGGTCCCAGCTCTGGGCATTACTAACTCTGCCACTCTTCCAGATTCCAGTTTCTCAAAAAGGCATCTGTAAAATAAGGGAATAGTATCTACTTCATAACTATGTTTGCAGAGTCCAGTGTGATTTGTTAATAACAATACTAAGCACAAGCAGTAATGTTTACATGGTGCTTCCCACATGCTGGGCCCTGTTCTAAGCACTCAACAAAAATAAAAACTCATTTTAATCCTCATACAATCCTATGAAATAGATATTATTCTTATTTCTACTTTTCCAGTGATAAAGCTGAGGTCCAGAGAAGTTAAGGTTACATAGTTAGTAAGTGACAAGGCCTGACCCCAAGACAGTCCTGTTGCCCACTGTGCCATGCTGTGTATGAAGGCGCCCTCTATATTAGTTGGAATACAGTAGACGTCCAACAAACCATTGACTTGCAACTAAAAATGTTTTTCAATGCTCTAAGTCTTTTACCTAGTAAGAGGAACTGAGCTTTATCTTCTTCTGACATCACCACCTCCCTAAAGAGCTGCCACTTTGGAAATTTTGAGAAGGATCCATGAACGCAAAATGTCTCAGCTAGAAGGAAACTAGGAGGTCAGTCTATCCATCCTCATGGGCTCCCAAGGCTAGAAGGTCATAACTCACTTGAAAGCTGCCCTTCTTCACCTACTCTTTAGTTTCTGAAGGCCACTGTGCTCTTGCCAGTGCAAGAGGAGCTGCTCCTCTTCCTTCTATTCCCCAATTCCCATATCTCTAGTCATTGATGCTGACCCTTTGGGATTCCTGACTGAAAGCCATCTTGATATTCTGGGCTATTACCATGCTCACAGAACAAGGAGTGGGACTAGATGCCCATGTAAGAGGTAAGTAGTAAAGAGGTGGAGAGAGCAAAGCGACTGTGGAATTGAGTGAACATAAAGCAGAGAAGACTAGAAGAAATAAAAATCTCTGATCAAGTGGTAGATCACATATGTTTTACGTATGCCATTATCAATATTGAGTTTGCATGTAATTGTTTTAATTTACATATATCGTTTTTTTTTTTTTTTTTTTTTTTTTTTTTTTTTTTTTGGTACTGGGAATGGAATTCATGACCTTGCACTAGCCAGGCAGGCACTGGGCCACTGAACTATATTCTTGGCCCTGCCTATATCATTCTTGCAGTGCAAATTCCCTCAATATAGCATGCTTAGTTATACAACTTAGTACCAAATTGCAAACATGTCAAGTCTGATGGCCTTTCTGTAAACCAAAGTTCTCTGGGCCAGTTTTTTCATCTGTGAACTGAGAGAATTGGACTGAATAACGTCTATAGAGTTCCTACACATAACATTTCATTACTCTGTGAGTTCCTGGGTTGCAGAGAGCCTGATGGTTGCTCAATTTAAAAACCTATCACTTCTATGACTGCAGTGAAGAGGACTACCCAGCTATCAGGGCCTTCTTTCCTCCGCAGTACTCTTACAATTTCTGGGGGTTTGGTGCTGCCTTCAATTTTAATTTATACAATTTCTAACATACCATACAAGCAAAAGGTGCTCAATGTAATTTTTGAATTGAGTCAGGCTCAAATTGAATAGCTGAATCCCTGCCCCCTAATACATACTCCAAGAATACTCAATCAGTCATCTGTGTGCCCACCAGGGAACTCGCTTCTGGAAAGGATAGCTCAGACTCCAGGATTGGAGACCACCCTGACTTTGGATGAGTTCCTGGAGACATGGCTCTCTCTAGGAGTAGTGGAAAGCTCATTTCACAGTTGAGATGGCCACATAAACTCAGGTTCTGCAGAGATGAAGAGAGGGCACAAAAGTGGAGACATCAGCTTCTCATAAGACAGTTTATCAAGAAAAGTGCCTGACAGAAATATCAAAGGAACCATACATGTCCCTTACTTTTCAGGCCAGGATTTATTCAGTGTCTTCTGCCTACCAAGTGGGGACCAGAAGATGTAACTCTCAGCCTCTCATAAGCAAAGGCTCACCATGGGTAGATAGACAGCAATACCCAATTAGGGTCCCAGACTGAGGGAAGCAGACATGGTTTCCATGTAGAGAAGTGCGGTGAAGCCATGATGGAGTCCTAGGCAAGACAGTAATGGACATTTGTCTTTCTCATAGGTCCCTCAGTATTGCCAATATTTCTACAATGAGGTCCAAATTCCAGGATGCCAATTTACTCCTTGAAGACAGACCAAACACCAGACTACTGGGCACTCCCTCTTCACTGACCAACTGGGTCATAGAGGGAAGGGCCATAGTATAACAGTTTCACAGAGAAAATCCAGAGAGCCTTACTCCTCTCCTAGCTCATGTCATCATGTTCCAACCCCACCAATGCTCTCATCCTCCTCCTGCTTCCTTCAAATATCACCCCCCTCACCTCCAGGATGGGAAAGGTTTGTCACCACAGGAACTAAGGCCTGGCCACAAGTGGAGACATGGTCAAGTTATATATAATCCGTGTTTCAGGATGCAAAATGCACATAAGTGTCCAACCCAAGGCCATAGAGGTGTCTCTGGAATTCATATGCACCTGTTTCTCAGATACAGTGCTTCTATCCCAAGGATCAGAACCTAGCCTTCCTTCAGTGCCCCTCCTGAGCCAGCAGAGATTTCCAGGGAGCTTCAAAACCTCTCCCAAGCAGAGCCACCCATGTTCAGGTCATGTTTGTCTATCAGCCTGGACGCTGAAGGACTCATTCCTAGCACGGGGGACCCATCTCTATGACACAGAGCCAAAGAGAAGTAGAACACTCTCTGTTGCAGAATGTGGCTACTCCTGCCAGCAAGTGATGATCAACCCCCATCTCTAGGCTTCATAGATGCCCACACCCCAATACTGCCTTTGGGATACCTGGCAGTCCACCCCCTGGCAAAACTGCCCACTGTAAGGTAGGGCGAGCTGTTCCTGGAATGCAGCCTTTTTGTAAGATACCACAGCACTCCCCACCAAGCCCTGGGTCTGTTCCCCATTCCTGGCCTAGTCGGCAACTCCTACCTTTGCTAAGCAGCTCCTGGCTCCCATGTGATAGCTCCTCTCAGCTGATGCTTCTCCAAGGCTGCTGAAGCCTGAACCACTGCAGTGAGCAGTGAGAGGCAGCCGGCAAAGCAGGATGCTCCAAGAGCTTCTGGGTCCTAATGGCCTCCTGCTTCCCATTCAGCCCCTTGGAGCCACTTCTGGAGCAAACCGCTGGGCAGCAGTGCCCCAAGCAAAGTGCTCAGGTGTGAGCCCAACTCCTCTCGTTCTTGCAGGTTCCTGGACTGCATCTCAAAAGTTTCATGTGGCCAGGTGATGATAGAGGAGACCTTTTGATCAATCTGATAAAGAAAAAGAGCGCTTAGCAACAAAAAATTCAGTTTTGGTTTTTGGTTTCTTATTTGTTTAAAGGGATTGTAGGAAAGATGATCCTGAGGTTCCTGAAAGTCCTGTCACTGCAGCAGCAGGACCAACTTAATTTTGTAGCAAAGCAGGTCAGTACAGACACAGGGCCCCAAAGTTAGGCCAAGGAAGGCCTGAGGCTTCTGGATGGGAATGATGAGGATTTAATTCCTTTGGAAGCTGTCATATATTCATAAAAAACAAATTAGAGGGTAACAGATATGAAGAGGAGCTGAAGGTCTTATCCATGCCCCTGCCTACCAGCACATGACTACAATTTTCTTACATTATATTTTTATTTGGCTGTGATGGAGATGAGGACTTAACATGTCTCAACAACACTGTACCCAGAAGGCAGAGTGGACTGAGCACTTAAGAAGAATCCATTAGTGTGGCTTTCTTTGTACAATTGGACAGAGCTGGGGAGCATCATTCATGAAGCATCACTCATCCATAGGCTAAACATTTGAAAATGAGATGAGGGGCATGGATTTCTACTAGAGGTAAAGAAAATGGTTGGTTCCCCAAGTACCTGACTGTTATCAACATAGGGTCCTAACATGGCAGAGCTTCAGGGCACTTTCCAGGCCAAGAAATTCTCATTTCTGCGATGAAAAGATGGCTCAAAGTCACAGAGCTCTCCATGGAAAAGCTGTAAGCCTAAACAGGGAAGCAGACATGATAACTACTCAAGAGCCTTGTGCTCCAGGACTTGTTTAAGAACTCCTGTCTCCAAAAAGAAAAGGAAATTCTAAACTGTTTATTAGAGCCAATCTAAAGAGTCATAAGATCAGTGAAATACACAGGGAGTTCAGAAGGGCAGGATGGCTGCCCCAGACCCAGGTCAACAGTAAAGAGGCTGCTGACCCACCCAAAGCCCATCCAGTGATATGTACAATCACCAGTCACTATTTCTTTAGTGCTTATTAGTATCGGGCTCTCCACATGTAGAATCTTCAGTCCTTACATCAATCTTTGAACAGGCATTATCTACCCTAGTTTACAGGTAAGGAAACAGTGTCAGAGATGAAATGAATTTCCCCTGATCAAGAATGACCAGAACCAATATTCAAACCTGTGTCTGTTTGTGTCAAAGTGTCTACTGCACCCTCTCTGGAGTCCTGACATGACACTGAGCAGACCCCCAGATTGCCCTGGGTCCCTTCCAGGGGATTCAGAGAGAATAAGATCAGACATGAGCTCTTTGGGACAGGTTCATAGAAGTAACACTGGACTTGGATCAGAAAACTTTGATTCTAGTTTGGCTGTACCATACTGGTTGGTGGTAAGAACTTCAACTGTGAGACGGCTGTGTTCGTTCTTTGTATCTGTAGCATGGGCAAAATTCTTCACACTTCAGCTTATCTAAAAGGGATACGAAGTTGTAACGCCAACATAACCTGCTTTTTAGACATAGGGGAGCTAATACAGTTGCCAGTTACCATGGCTGGCCAAATTGTTGATGTGGTGGCCAGTGGCAAGGTCATGTGGCCTCTCTCAGAGAGCCACTGGTGAGGATGATTTCAAGTAGTGGATCCTAGAGCACCTTTCCAGGTGCTGAAAGACATCTTGGCTCAAGGGAGAGACAGACTGGGGAAGCAGGCGCAAGGTTGGTAAGGGGACCGCTTATACAAGCCCAGGGTAATTGGTAATAGTACTAACCAAAGGATGCTGGTGGTGGTCATGATGATGATGATGGTTCTCAAGGCCCACTCAGGGGAGGGTATATCTCATTAAATCATCTCAATCAAGGTTTGGAGTGTTGACATCACATCTCCTATCCCACATTACCAATCTCTCCTTTTAGAGTTTATTACAATGAAGAAGGAGGAAAGGCCAAGATACAGGCACTGGGCATGACCCCCCAACCACATCAGCAATCTGTAGTCCACCGTCCACACCCAGGTTCCATGTTATAGGAGGGGACCAGGCACTCTTCTCCTCAATGCAGTAGGACCCTTAGCTCTGAGGACTGATCTCTCCATTTTAGACTTACTTCTTGGTATAGCCATGCCTGACCCTTGCCCACAAGCATCTCTTGACAGGACTTGGTCCACCTGGCCTGGGTGGGACCCTGAAGCTGGTCATTCATGCATCTATTTATTAAATATCAAATGTGTTCTAGGTGTCCATAGTCCCCTCCCTAGAGCTCCTGTCTGCTTAGTGACACCATTGCCCTTCCTTTCTCTCTCTCTCTCTTTCTCTCTGCTCTGCTCTGTCAAAATCTGTTCTCAGGAAAGACATTGATAAATTCATTCACACCGATAGCAGCTTAATATGTTTTCTCTCCCAGGAATATTAACAATTTAAAAGGAAACAAAAGGAAGAGGAAAAAATGCTAGGATTCCAGCTTCAACAAGGGCTGTCCCTGAAACCTCATAACATAGACTGACTGCCTTGTCAGCCTCCTACTCCCCAGCCAGGCATTCCCTCAAGATGCCAGCATTTTGTCTTCTCTGCACCCACCTCCATCCCTAAGGACACTCCACCCTCCCCACCCAGAGAGCAGACTCCCAGTCTCACCCCTGTAGCCCAGGTCGCAGCTGTTCAGAGCCCCACTACACCAGCACCACCTGTGCCTGCTCCCCAGGAACCCACTACTCCCACACCCCCTAGGCTGAGGGGCTCAGAAGGAGGCAGAGGAAAGCAGAGGTGAGAGCCTTTCCGTTCTCTTTATTCCCCCACAGTCTGGCCCACACCCCCTGCCAGGAGCTGAGATCCAACAGTATATTCAGCCTGCAGCTGCCACTGGTCATGTGAGCCCATTGCTAGGTTACAGGGACCCAAAAATAAATCCTTCCCAACCAGATTAGAAACTGGGGGCCTCGAATGAACCGGGATCAAAGAAAGAAAGGAACATCCATAGTGCATGTGCAGGCCAGGCCACACTGTCTGCCTCCTCCTATCCATCAGACCTGGCTCAATCTAGACCCCCAAAGAAAAATTTCAGGAAGCTTTTGGGTCCTTAACAATACAATAAATAGATCTATACACTGAACAGTGATCCTCTCTGGCCATTACCAACAACTTGGGCAGTATCTCTCTGTTATTGCTATCCAACCTCTGTATCATCTGCTTGTTCCTCCATGTGCCCCATCCCATAGTCATTGCCCTGACAAAGAAGCACTCACCATTTACCCCAGGGCCTGGTAACAATAAATACCAATTTTCCTTTTCCAGACTCAGGCAAGGAGATCTAGCAGTAGGCATAGTAATGGACATTTTCCCACAAACAGTCTTACCCATCTTCTAGGTTAATTTCAATAATTCCATTTATAGATGGAAAAACTGAGGCTCACAGTGGTTAAGTGGGTTTCTCAGAGCCACCCAGTTGAGTTACTGGTTTTCAAACCTGGATTTGCAAGTACTTGGACTAAGGCTGGGCATGGAAGAAGACAGGAAGCACAGTAAGTGGAGGGGGATGGCCAAAAACCATTCCCTGATGCCTGATACCTTGCTCTCAGTTGGGGATATTGTCTCTACCCACCACTCACTCCACATTATCCAAGCCAGGATATGGTTTAACCAGGCCACATGCCTCCTTCCCCATGGCTTCAGCTCTGTCCTCTCTTCTAGGAAACACAGTCCAGGACCAGGGTGGGGTCATTCCTGAGAGGACAGTGGCAAACTTTGTAGCCAGCTGCATGGCAGCAGAATAGCAGAGCTGAAAGGGCCCTAGGAGGCCAAGCAGCTACCCCATACCTCATACCTTACAGGAAAACAGGCAGCAATAGCTTATCCCTGCGTACCAGGGTGGGCAGGAAGGGGGCACAGCCAGAACCTAACACTCTGGGGTCTCAACTTTTTTTTTTAACCTCTCATTAAGGATGCAAAAACTTGGCCAAGGGCAACCTAGAGTGCTTTCCACTCATGGTGCCCTTCCTCAACCCACAACATTGTCCTTCTGGCTACATGTTCCCCTCAGGAAAGCACACTTCTTCCCTGGTCAGGTTCTAAGGCAGCCCAGATGCTCCTGACTTCTCTGTACACTTCAACGCCCATCCTTACCCATATGCACTGTGCACACTTCTACAGTCTCTCGAAGCCCCAGAACAACCTGTTTCCAACTCCTACCTTGACAGCCCAAATGACGGGCTTCATTTCTTTCAAGACAGGAAATATGCATTGATCTCCTGTCCCATGCAAAGGGAGAGGAATACAAAGTGATACAAGGATGAGACGAATATAAACCTTGCCCTGTTGTTAGTGCTTGCAATTGAGGATGAAACAAAGATTATAACCTTTAAGAGAATCAAACTGTAGGGGAGATCTAGAGAAAAAAGTGAAACTACTCCCTCAGGAAATCCAGGAAGGCTTCTTGAAGGAAGTGGCATAGGTCGTAAAGGAGGATATCTTTTAAAAGAAACTTTTAAAGTTATTAATATTTTAAATGAACACATAGTAGTTATTAACATTTATGAGGGACAGTGTAGCTTTTCAAGACATGCACACATTGTATAATGATTGGATCAAGGTAATTAACACATCAGATATTTATCATTTCTTTGTGCTGGGAACATTCAAAATCTTCTCTATTAGCTATTTTGAAATATTCAATTAATTGTTGACCACAGTTACCCCACTGTGCTACAGGACATTAGAAGTCA